TTCACACGTGGAATACTATGCTGCATTGAAAAACAAGGAACTCATGGAATATTATTCAAAATGGGTGAGCCTGGAGGACATTATGCTGAGTGAAATATTTCAGTCGCAAAAGGACAAATATTGCATGGTGCCACTGCTGTAAAATAACTGTTATCAGGGTTGGGGAAAGACTAAGAAAAACTGGATAAATTGTGTATACTGCATTGAAACAGATGAGGGAGTGAATAATTTAAAGCGATATATGGTAGGGTATTATGGTTATCATAAGAGTCCACAATTAAGGTTGCATAGTGGAAGGTACTTCGGGCGGGGGGATTGTGTACCAGGGAGGGAGTGTTTCTTTTACTTTTAAAAGAGAGGGGAGGGCTGGGCGGGGAGAGAAGTGCAGCAATGAATGAATGGAAATCCAAAATCTCTGTAAATGTTCATCAAAGTTATTAAAAAACCAAAAAGACTAACAGTTGATTTCTCATCAGAAAACAGGCATGAAAGGAACTGTATGGTATATTGAAATGAAATCATAATGACCAGGGCAGAAAGAAACAAAAAATCATAAAAATAATAGAATGCGGCAACAAGACAGGAAGTTGGATTTTTGAAAGGATCAAGAAAATTATCAAACCACTAGCAAAAGGCTAGGGGTGGGGGGCGATTACAAGCAGAAAATACTCAAACAACAAATGAACCTTGCACATGGTAACAGATCCAATTGAGATACAGTGAATGGTCACAAAACACTATGAAAATTTGTAGTCCAACAAATTTAAACATGTAAAGATAGACAAAATTAAAGAAACACACTGCTTACAAGAATGAACTGAAATAGAGGCTGAACATTTAAAGAAATATTTAATAAAAGGAAATTTTAAAAGTCATTCAAAAAGTAAATATCCCAACAAATAAAACCTAGGTCCAGATGACTTTATCTGAGAACTTTACCAAGAAATTAGTTTACATCAATTCTATTTCTACTCCTCCAAATATGTAGAAAAATAATTAGCATTCCCTGAACCCATTCTATTAATCCATCAATACCCTATAATCAAAGGCAGGTAAAACTGTCACACACATGGGAAAAATTATAGGCAGTATCCTAAAATTTTAATACAAACACATCCTCAGCAAAATTCTAGACAATGTAATGCAATAATTTATAAAAAAAGCCCATACACTATGACTAGGTGGGGTTCATAAATGAATATTAGAAAATTAATGTATGAATTTTGTTTTTGTTGTTGTTATATGTTAGTGAGTTGCCTGTGACTCATAGCGACACTATGTACAACAGCTGTAAACCCTGCTCTATCCTGTGCCAATCTTATTGTCTCTGACACATCTACCTCTATTACCCCAGTCACTCAATCAATCTAAGTTATTGAGGGTCTTCCTCTCCTGCGCTGTCTCTCACCCTCCCAAAAATAATGTCCCTCTCCAAGGATTGGTCATCCTTGAAACATGTCCAAAGTATGTCAGACAAAGCTTTAGAATCCTTGCCTCCAAGGAGCAGCCTGGCTTCACCCTCTCTAGGACAAACCTGTTCATTCTCTTAGCAGTCCATGGTATATTCAATACTCTTCTCCAGCACCACAGCTCAAAGGCATCAGTTCTCCTTCTATTATCCCTAGTCATTGTCCAGTTGTCCGATGTATTTTACCGTATAAATGAAATAGCCTATTTATCTCAACTGATTCACTTTCATCAATATTATACTGCAAGTCCTATGCTGAGTAGTAAGGGGTGGGGGAAGGGAGTATTCATATTTGAAAGGAAGATATAAAA